ACCCGTACGATTTTCTTGAATTTCTTGCTTGCATAAATAACTTTAAACACGTTTTAAAGTAAGTTGCCAATGAAGAAAAGTATTGCAAACTTAAACCTGACAAGTACTCGGAATACCAAAGGTATTTTTCGAAAAATTAGCCCGGATGTCCTAGTAAATGACGATTAACTTTGATCGGCTATAACTACGTAACTAATTGACCAATCGATCTGTTTTTTTTTTAAAGAAGCGTCTTTCCAATAACTTTTAAAACCAGCGTTAAAAAAAATTTGATTTCATTCAATATTCACAAAGTTATTCTAATTGTTTATAAGCTACAAAAATTCGACCAATGTTTAAACAAGTGTCAGAGCTCTCCTAATTGACGTATTCGAATTTTTCAAAAATCGTTTCAAAGCTTGAGAGCCCTTCTATATGTGATTAAATTTTCAAGTATCTAAGGGCGTAGGTTTTTGCAAAATTTTGAAAATTTGCAATTTTTTTTTCAAAATCTGGATTGCAAAATTATTATGCAAAATCTATCTAACCGATTTTGATGAAATTTAGTGTGATAATTCTACAATAACATGAAGTTTTCTGGAGCCAAGTATGAAGGTCCTATACCCAATTTAAAGACCCCAAAAAATCCCCTAAAAAGTAATGTTTTTTAACCCAATTTTTGGCGATTTTTTCGATTTTTACAATAACAATCATGATTCATTCGATTTGTAACTAGTCATGTTTTGTAAAAAATTTAATTACAAACATTTTCCATTTTCGCCTAAAATCAACTCTTGAATAGACAGGTACATAATTAAGTAGGAAGAAAAATATGACATTTTTCGAATTTTTTTAATATATTGTGCCGCCAAAAGTTAAGCCCACGTTTTTTTTAAGCGCATAGAAAAATTTTCATTTCTAGTGATATTTGAAAGCTAAAAAGCCAAAAATCTCCGTGGATATACGATTCACCCAAACCAAAACAGATACCGCCTAGTCTATATTGGACCGGGATTTTAGAGACAATTAAATAATTGATTAAATTTTTATTTTCAAAAAGATTTGCATTGATAGTTAATGTAATAAACGCGTTAGCAGCAATAAAAGTTAACGTTAATGAACGGCCTGCACACGGGAGAAGGAGCGCCCGGCCTAAGCACGCGCCTGAAGGCCGCCCTCGGGCGCGCGATATTTTTGCCTTCAACATTTCAAATTCAGTTCAGTCTCTATCTCGAGAACCACTCGATCAATTTTGACGATTTTGTTTTATTTTAGGTATCTCGTTGAGCCGAGTACAATGCCGTCATAAAATATATACATTGTCGGTATTAATCCGTCGCAAATTAAACATTCAACCCATATTTTTCGATAGATAAGAGAAAAATGTAAACAAATGATTAAAACAGCAGTACTAATACCCTTCCTTTTACCGGTTTTTGATAACTGCCTCAGTACAATTTAAACTTGTTGAACAATGCCAACGAATAATTAAATAAACCAATACCAACTTTAATTCAATACCAGTTTACGGACAAAAAAGCGTTTTAAATAATTAATGACGTGAGTTGTAAAAAGCTGAATATGGTGGAGGTAACGTTCGAAGTGTAAGAGAGCCTGCTCAAATATTTATTAAAAGGCGCCTTTTTGAATTGTACGGAATTGTTCACTATTGGCTTTAAATTCTTAAACAACTATCTTATTTCATTGAAGACGTGAAAGGAAATTTAGTGCTAGTAGTGCGTTTAATAATGAATAAATTGAGAAAAGGACAATTACGTCATTTTACTGTATAAGAATGTTTCAAAATAAATTACACTAACTTCGTTATTAAGGGAGACACAAAAATAAATAAATTATGAGAGGAGTAGTAATTTTCTCCTGAAAGAAATAATTGAAGTATCTATTAAAATGATATATTTTAAATGGAATACCGTGTATTACAAAGTAATATTAAAAAGAAAAATTTTTTCGGGATTACAAATAAGATTTAATGACTGCTTTTTAACGATAAGGAAGATATAACGACTATTAGAATATATCTCAAAAAAATCTCCAAAATGTGACAAATATACCTACGAAATTTCATTGTAATAATGTCCATTTTATTACCTCAAATACATACATCTATATACATACATAGAAATAAATATTCAATTTGAGCCAACTACATAATTAGTGGTGTTATTAAATTGAAACATACAATTTTAATTTTGATCTAACAGCCTAACAGTCAATTTATAGAATATTACATGTTCTATGTTTGCAAATTGTATGAACTGACCTATTTGGTACTCGATTTTACAATAAAAGCGTAACACACTAAACTTAATAATATGTGGATGTAAATACAATTTGTTACATTTGATGATTAATAAAATATATCATATTAAGTGGTACATATTCACCATTATTAATTAATACAAATCTAATTACATATAATATTTAGTTATTCAGATAATTTTACAGTTTTTTATTTTGAAATTTAGCTATCACGTTTATTTGTAGTCGAAGTAAATTAATTTTTTTATGAGAAATAATTTATAAAGCTTTTAAAATTTGAGTGCGAACTCCTTACATACATGCAAATATAGATCAACAGAGTTCCCACCTATCCGGAGGGTGCTTCATCCATCCCCTTTTGCTTCAGAAACCACCCTTTTTCTCAAAAACTGCTGCTCTGACCAGGGAAAATGAATGGGACCTAAAATATTCGGCATAAAATTCTACATCATTTATGTCCTATAAACTTTTTTCTATCGTTAACTCACAAATATGGTTTGAAAAATTAGGACATGTTGCTAAAGTTAGTCAAAAACGAGTAAAGTGTCAAATATCTTGAAATACATTGGCCATAGCAAAATGTTGCATGCTAAGCAGATTTTTCTACATAAATCTGGCTGTAAGGACAAAAAAATATGACTACAGAAGATTTTATTATTACTAGGTACTACGTCTTTTATATTCAAGCCCGTTCCCACACCATCGCTGAGGTAGAGCTCCCGGCGCGTTTTTTTTTAAGTGGTTTTACCCTGGAAGCCCAATCCATTAAAAACTGCTGTTTTTTCATTAATTGAATTATTTTTAGTTAATTCTTCCTCTACCACTGAATTAAAACATCCTTGACCATGACAATTGGAGCACATTGTTGAACACTTCAATCCAACCTTAGCACAACCGCTTCGTTTTCCGCAACCGCAATTGTTTTCCATCCCCATTCATTAGGCTTCAAATTTTCTCTACGCCACGAATGAATTTGTTGAAAAACGCGATACGAATGTCGTTCTAAAACAGCAGATGTAGGTGGTAGTCTTGATAATATCACTGCGTGATTAGATTGACCAACTTTGTTAAACGAAATCAATCTAAATTGATTTACTGATGTGACAGTTTGAGGTGCCTTGTATAAAGCTAGTGTGATTTTCTCTCCAGCTCGTACAATGTCTAGTTTGATCGATGATGGATTGTTAAATATATCCAAAGCATCGTCTAAGTCCCTTCTAGTATTTGTTAAATTTACAATCTGTGCTTTTCCTTTGCCAACAAATGCAAATGCAAATAATATATTTCTTTTACAGTTATGAAGGATTTCCGGGTTATGCAGTTCTGTAAATCGAGAGAACTATATGCTATACATACTAAACAGGTTTAAATATATGTTTTACGTTATATGGATACAATTTACATTAAATATTAAAAAACGAGAAGGATTGTATTAACAATTTATCGCAAAGCTATTAGGCAAAGCTTTATTTTGTTATTGAACATTTCGAGAAGCTCTCTACAGCGTTTTCTCACAAAAGATTTCCATCTTCATGCTTACAAAAGTCAATTGACTCAAGAACTGAAGCCCACTGAACACGCAGAGCGAAGAGAATTCGTTGAATGGATTATAGAACAACAACAATAGGACGCTGATTTTTTCGAACAAAATCATCTTCAGCGATGAGGTCCATTTTCATATTAGATTTGTTAATCGACAAAATGATAATATTTGGGATTCAGGAAATCCACGAGTGATTGTTGAGAAACAAATGTATCCCCAACGTGTCAGCTTGAGTCATCTTCCTGGTAGTGTAATATCCCGTTTTCGTGATCACAATTGGCCGGCCATCAGATTATGCGATATAACGCCGTTGGGTTTTTTGTTTGGGGTTTTGTGAAGTCGAAACTTTATGCCGACAAGCCCACGATCATCCATGCTTGAAGGAGGAAATTGATCGCTTTATCAACAAATTTCAGCCGCATTTATACAAAACGATCATGAAAAATTTCGACAGAAGAGTGTCTATGTGCCAGCACAACCGTGGAGGCCAGTTACCCAATATGCTATTCCATACATAATCCTATACTGTATACTTTATGAATCAATAAAAAAAATTTACAATTTTCAAATGTGTTTTCTATCAAAATTACTTGTTGGGAAATTTTGGGACACCGTTTGCTATTTAAATTATTGTTATACATATTTACATATTTTTGATCATGAATTTTTGACCCAGTTCTATGCAGACAGTAAGTATTTTTTTATACAAATGTCCAAACGTACTGTTCAATATTGCAAAAATACATATATTAATAAATTTTAAATAATTGTGGTTTTAAATACTATTCAAACACAGTTTGGATTATTTTTATTATATTTCACCACAAAAACTGATATGAGGTTAAATATAGTCATATTTGTATAAATAACTTCAAAATGGAATCGGTGGAAACAGTGTTACCAGATCTACCGCTAAAGCGGTAGATCTACCGTTTCAATGTGTCATCTACCGTTCTCCAGTTTTTACCCCTTAATATACCGCTTTTTAAATTCTCCGGAACTCGCCGCCTCGCTCCATCTTTTGGCACATAGCGATAGTTGTATAATAGTATTATTCTGATGGGCGTACCCAGTGGCGCATGAATCTATGCTCTATTCTGTAGTATAGTCATAGGTCATAGTCACGCGTCCGTCTTTTATATATTCTGTGGTGTGGTACTGTACTGTGAGTACTGTGACAGCACAAAACAGATCAAATGTGAAAGTGTAAGTACACAGTGTACAGCAAGGAATCAGAATAATCAGATAGAAATCAGTATGTTTATTTATTTGTATTAAAAGGTATGTTATATCTATCGAGTTATATTTTTTTAACTGATATTTGTAATTAGATATAAAATGAAAAGATCGAAGCCTTCTTGTAGTTCTCGTCCTTCTACTCCTATTAACAATAGCAGCTCTAACGAGAATAGCGAAGACTGCATTAAAACTAAAAAGAAGTATTATCAAACATACAATCGTAGATGGGAAGAAGAAGCTGATTTACGAGGATGGCTTAAATCTAGCGAAAAGGTAGTATTTGTTTATGAACTCTATTTTAAAAATCTTTTATATTATACCATATGTAACATTTTTTTAGGGGTCTTATTTTGCTTATTGTCACCCCTGTAATGTTAATATTAACATAAAAGGAGGGAAACTTCAATTACGCCGTCATGCAGAAAGGGTAAAACATAAACAAGCTTGTCGGAGTAAACTGAAGCAGAAGTCTTTAATAGATATGATACCAACAACCGGATTGGAGACCCAATTAAAGAACTCCGAACTTATATTATCTGCCTTCGTTGTGGAACATAATTTACCAATAAGGAGACGGAAAAACCGGCCCTTAATATACATTTTAGTAAATTTATTGTTTTTTACATTACCTGTTTAGATTTATTGTAATACGTAAAATATGTTTATGTTTTTTGTTCCTTTTATTTTTTAATAAAATATTTTAAAAGATAAATTGAAATTGATATTAGTCTCATTTTGTTAGGTTACTGCTTTGACTATATACATAGTCAAAGGTTACTATTACATACGGAAATTTATTTTAAATTGAAATACGCACTTATTCCAGTAATTGTACACTATTGTATTGACAGACCATTAAGAGTTCCTTACAACATCTTAGAACAATCAATGAACTCTTCAGTGTTGCCAAATCACATTCCTTTAGGAGTACCAACATCTACCGCTATCTACCGCTTTTTTCAATCATACTTTACCGCCATTCGAATATTTTATCTGGCAACACTGGGTGGAAACGTATTTCATGTTTTCACATCTGCATTGCTGGACAATTATGAGTGAATTTAGTACGGAATATTTGATGCAACTTATTTCAATTATTCCACAAAACAATTTTTATGTCACTTGCAAGCTAGATGTAAGCAAATGGACGTTTTTATTAAATTTCCGTAAAAACTTTCAAAATGAAGTAAAATTACTCAGGGCGTTTCTAAAATGCATCGTACAACGTAAAGAGCTGATTTAGCGGTAGTTAGTAATGAATTTTATTTCTAAATGTCAATTGCTTTCAAAATATAGCTTATCTAACCAATTACAATTGTTATTGAGGCGATAATAGGTACTAATATTTACAGCATGTCCTATTAGCGAAGTTCCATTTCATTATTGGACATTTTTTTTTCAGTGTAGGTTTCGAAATTAAAATATTTTGATTACACGTAATTTATGTGAACTTTTCTGTAGCTGTAGCAAGCTTATTTTTCTAATAAAATGCCCCTTACGCTGTGGTCGGTAATAAGCAGATACATAATCGTTACCTATTTAAATTAGATATATCTAATCTATTTTCGAAATTAATATTTCTAGATTTTCAGCAGAGACTTTTTCCCCATACAATAACAAATACCCTTATATGATCAGACATTCAGATGTCACAACGAGTTTTATGGAGAAAATTACCTCGCAATGTAACATAACCTTAAACATAGCGAAGAACTGTCCCATTTTTAGGTTAAAATATCTCGAAAAGCTGACGAGATGAAGTAATTTTAAGATAGGATTCGGATTCAACGAATTTTACCTGAATTATTTGCTGTCTGAGTCCCGACTGACTAGAAAATTGCCACGATTTTTGTTAATAATATAAACAAGCCATATTATTTAACTTAAAATAAATACTCTATGCTATTAAATCTTAAGAGTAACATAAAATTTTATCTTTTTCTTTACATCATGTGTTTAAATTGAAAGTATGTAGTATTCCCTTCCAGTAAAACATCGTATCAATTGTCGTCTTCTATATTATTTTAAATAAAAATGCAATTATAATTTATTATGTGATTAAGCAACAAAGCTGTCTGCGTTTCGAAAAACTTTGTTAATTATGGCATTAAAGTTTTACTCTCCTGGAATATACAAGTATAAGTACGACTAAAAGGGAAACTACATAAAACAATGTAAAGTTTCTAAACTACACGCGAGTTATGTTTTCAAACATGAAAGAGAATATATTCGCTAAAATTCTGTCTGCGTAGAGGAAGTTGAAGCCAAACTTCATCTTACTACATATTTACCAAAGTTATGCGTCTTTATTGCTCTCTTTTTTGTTGCATTGCAGTGACTTTTCTATAATAGAGATATTCAAAAATCGCCTCTGGACAAATTCGGCTGAATAAGTGCACAATTTAAGTTCGACTGAACTAATAATTATCAGTAAAATAATGACTTTAAAGCCGAATTTTTCGTACAATTCCCAAAATTTCGATTAATAAAGACAAGTGCCATAAATGCGGATTATTTATGGAGTAAGACAACCGTCAAGCTAAATAGCCAGATCCTTTTAATATATTTTTATTAATAATTATAGAAAGTAACTTTCTTCTAATGCAGGAAATACCATTAGATTTATATACAAAATATAATTACCATACTTGATACTCGTTCACCTGATCTATAATATTTTTGAAGATCAGGAGGAAAATGTTTGAGCATCACCACCTATGATATAACTTATCATATCTGAATCGTCAACACCTGATGACGTCACTATCAGTGGTTTAGTCAGTTTAATAGTAAATGAGAAGTCGGTGTACGCATTGTAATTAGCTTAATTTAATTATTTTGACAGCTATTAAAAAGTTAATTACATTATAATCTGTAACATTGTATCCTGTTTCAGTAGTATTTTTACATGTAATCTGTGTCATCTTTCTGTACAAAAGCTACTACTATAAAATATGTGCGACAAGATATAAGAACACTGTTCAAATGCAGTCAACATACTAAATTAGAAATGCCATCTAATGAGAAATTTGAATTTCGTATTGCTATATTGCAGTTTTTTTAAGCAAATCCAGTTATTGTGACAACTACCAGAACATTTAACATGACTTCATATGTGATAGAACTAAAGCAGACTATGCGATAGAGACGTAAAAACAAGTGAATCAAAGAACTGTTTCTCCGCCTGTCTTCAAGGTAAGATCCAGTCCAGTACCTTTAGAAAATATTCTATATAGAATTTTAACTAATACCATAAACACGTGATATAATATGTTCTTCTTTCATCTTGATTACCTCTGTGTGAAGAATATAGTAATGTTGGACCATTATTCCACCAAAAAAAAACAAGCTTCATCTAGTTTAGTGACCAATACATTACATGTGATCAATTTGGTCAAATCTCTTTTGAAAATCAAAGAAAATGATCCTAGTCTTCCAAATTGTTTATCTAAAAATTCACATAGATTTCTCAAATAGTATAATTTGTTGAATCCAGCAGGTGATTAAATTATAAAAACAATAAAATAAGGATTTCATTAGCAAAATCTGTTTTTCAAATACACGTTTTTAGAGAGGCACTTAATTAAAGAGACCTTTCTATGCTTTACAACTAAGAAAAGTTGGATTGCTCGGAGGTATAAAACTTCTATAAGATACCTACCGCGAAACCCTCCAGGGTAATTTATGTCTGAGAACTGAGAAGCATGCTACAGAGAATTCCACTGAAGCTAATTTGTGTACGCTTATGGCTGAAATTAAGTAAAATAATACGATAATAATTCTCTCCGCTTGTATATCGGAATCTATACATACGTAGTAAATTAAAACCATAATATAATATCATGAAGGTCCAAATGAACAACCATCTATGCGAGAGTGATGTCTGCTGCATTGACGTGAGGTATTGACATCAATTGGTATTTATCTGTTTCTTTAATTAATGAGATTTTCTCTCACTTCAGCCTTGACTGTAATTAACAATTTAATGAATGATAAGTTTCGTGATATTAAATTGACAAAACGGAAGAATAATTAGTAATATATTTGCATAAAGAGCAGGAATTATGAATATTCATATACGAATACACTTATTCTCAACCAAATTATCCTAAGAATTTCTCGATGAACAGGGTTAAGAGAATTTTATAGTAAAATCTGGAAAATTGATGAATAAGTAGGAGGAAGAGTGAGTACCTACTACTTAAGGTCTACTAGAAACTTTAAACTTGAAATCTTTGAGGATCTTAAGAAAGCTTATTAATAAAATTAAGTTATGTAAGTTTTTCGTTGAAAATTAGTTACAAATGGAATACTTCAATATTGTTTTTAAACTTGTTAAAGTTACAAATATCTATCAGGTAAAATCGAGTAATGTTTAAGCAATTCTTACTGGTCTATTTTTGTCAATACTAACTGATCAAATTAAAAAATGATGATTATTTACTATTATTATTATTTAATTCAGGTTACAATTATCATAAATATCTCATCAAAATTTTCAGCGATCGTATACCCCAAATGAGCCCGTAATTAATATATAAATATATACAGGTACATAAAAAACCCCAATTTCTCAAACAATGAATTATTTGCGAATGTTGTTCTTTGAGTCTGTTACTTTTGTATGACCAACGTAGCTGGTTAGGGCATATCAAATCAAAGAGGAAGTATGCGAATGTTTCGTCAGTCACAAAACCAATAAGCTCTTCAGAATGCAGTACAATGGAAGCGAGTTCTTCAACAAAGAGTCTATGGAAATAGACGACATATTGCCATGAGGAACTACTGAAAATGAAGCTGAAGACGACGAAAACTTTCGAGATGAAGATAAAGAGGAAGATGGAAAGGAATACGAACACTGAAACGATGACTGAAATGGAATGGATGGAATGAAACATCTGCAAACGTTTGATCTGAATGAGTTAAGCGATATTATTGGCAACCTAGGTTTATATTTAGAAGATGGAACTGATTATTTAGTTCGAAACCGAGATATAAAAATCTTCCATCTAAGGGAACCAAATCTTCTGTATATCGTTTACGTAACAAAATATATTATTTTCTGAATTCCAAACTTGAAAAATTAATATTTATCATAAGTGTAAAAATATTCCCATACTTTGGGATAGGAAACGTACACTCTAGGTGCTCTGTGGTTACAACTATAAACCTCTAATCACGAAAATGGTGAAGAATTTTAAAGAAGTTGGAGACTGCACTTTATGAAATCTCACGTAGATTACTTCCCCGATAATCGCATACCTCCTTGTTCGTGAATCACCCTTTTTATGAATTGAGCGGATATGCTGTATAAACTGACCACTACCAAACTGTTTTCATCTTCATTATCATTCGTGGCAATATCAATGGCATCTTGTAACCAAAAACTCATTTTTCAACATCGTCGAAAACAATATTTATTTCATCTCTTTTTTTTAATTTGAATGATGTCGATATTACGCACCTGTAGATATTTCCCTAACTGTATAAACTTTTTCAGTTTTACTTTTTGGGGGTTCAAATTTGGAGAGAAATTTTCTTATTTTGTAAACAAAAGCAGAATACTTAAATTTGAGGGAGAACGCTTTAAGGACACGTCACGAATGTATTTGTGTCTCAAAAATCTGATTTATTTTATGCTTTGCTATGTAAAAGAGATTTGCTATGCAAATCTGGCGTACGTATAGAAAATATGTCCTAATATTATAGGAA